TGGTTTTGAGTGTGTAGACAACGCAGCTTTCCCAAATGTATGAGCGGTTCAATGTTGCTTGGACAATATCTGGACGCTTTCCTTTTGTGATCACCGGCAAAATTTGCTGAAAGTCCCCTCCCATTAGCATTGTTTTACCTCCAAATGGGAGATGGGCTGCTGCCTTATTTTCAGAGGAGACAATATCCTTTAGTGTGCGGTCGACTGCTTCAAATGCTAGTTTGTTTGCCATTGGAGCTTCATCCCATATTATTAATGAGCACTTTTTCAATAGGCCTGCCAATTGAGTTTGTTGTCGGACCCCACATGTGCTTCCCTCAAATAATTCTATAGGGATATCAAATCTGCTGTGTGCAGTGCGGCCACCGGGTAGTAGAAGGGCTGCAATTCCTGAAATTTTAAAATGGGTTAAGTCTGGTTGTGAGAGGTGGGGGTGGGTTTATATTGGATCTGGTTTTTTTCGAAATCATATGTTTTCTATATGTTATATTTTTTGTTTTTGTTTGTGGGTCGTGTTTTCATTTCATAATGGGAACCTCGGGTTTTAAGGTAGTTTTGGTTGCATTTTTTTTTGAAAGTATATCTATAGTTGGTTTTGTTTTTGTATGAGTGGTTTTTTTTTTTGTGTTTTGGGTTTTTATTACAAGTTTTGTTGTGATTGTGTCGTTGGTAATTTGTGGGAGTGTTTTGATTTGAATGAATGTTACATACCTGAGGATGCCACAGTTAGCACTATTTTTCGTTCACTTCGAATTTTGGCAGCTATAGTAGAGTACAAGAATGTTTTCCCTGTTCCACCATGGCCATATACAAAGAAGACGCCTCCCTGTCCTGTTTCTACAGCAATGATGACAGCATTATAGGCTTTCAGTTGTTCCCCATTGAGTAGAGTCATATTCTGTCTATGGAGGGCCTGCAACTCAGTTATGTTGTAGCTTAGTTCCTCTCGGATCATTCTATTATCTAATGAACTGATCTCACTGATGCTAGGTTGCGGGAGGGACGGGAAGTCAGAGAGTGTTTTACCAAACCGCTGTAATATTTTATCAAGCTCCAGGAGGCAGTATGTTTGTATTTGTGTTGGTGTAAGGTGCAGGTCTGGATGGCGGTACATTTTTCTTCTTCTGTGCAAGATATCATCTTGAAGAATGTTTTTGGTGTTCTCCCAGAACTGGTTGGGGTCTGTCACCTCGCAGAAAAGAAGGATTCACCTCGCAGAAAAGAAGGATTGTAACAAAAAGCTCTCGCGCTTGATTTGCCGTGGCCCATTCATTTGCTTCTTGGATAGCTTCTATCCATTCTTTGTCGTCACTTAGCGATCCAAGTGCGTAACACGCTGCTTTGAAAGTTGGGTGGAGAACATTGTTTATGGTGCGTATGTCTTCATATGATGTTGGTCCTCGGGTGGAGTTAAGAAGTAATCGTAAGTAATAACGTTCGCCCGCTGTTGGGTGGACATATGCGATTCTTCCAAGGCAGTTACCTTGTTTTCTCTTTGTCCATTGTTTTACATACTTCCATTGTTGATGTTCTTCACTCCAGACCCTGACTCTTTGGTTCCACACAAACTTACTTGGGAATTCCGCGTAAGTTAGAGCTCGTGCTTCAGCATCATGGCTGTTTCTTTCTAGCCACTGTGTGAACATTGTTTGTTGTGCGGTGTCATCATTCACAACCTCAGCTATGTTCTGAGTATCTTTTAGTGTTAATAGTTGTTCTCCTGGTAAATGCACATGAAGACATATGACAGCTATACTTCGCATGTGAATATCATATTGGAATATCCTCCATGTGGCCTCGCACGCTGATAAGCATCGGCAATCTTGGTACTGCTCTATTTCATCATTCTCATTTTTTTTCTTTTGTTGGCTTCCTTTGATTACCATGGTTGCTCTATCTGGGCCTTTATTTAAGTACTTAAATAGATACTTAATTGCCTTGGACTTGTTACACCATTCAACATTTATATGAGCTTCGAATAGGAGAAGTAGTTTCGTATTGTATGGCACCACAGACCTGTTGTCTAGTTTGACTGCTCCCTTTTTCACTTTCCTGTAAAAAGTTGAAAATATGTTAGTGTAAAAGTTGTTTTGGTTGTTTGCTGTTAGTGGGTTGATTCTAGGTGAGTGTGTTTTTTTTTTTGTTGTTTTTATCTCTGTTTTTATTATGGTTATTTTATTATTTTTGGTTTTTTTGTTTTTTTGTAATGGTGTAATAATTGGGTTATAGGAGTTTTCTAATTAACATATTCGTCGTATGTGTAATGCAGTGAATAGTGAATATTATTGTTGTTTTTCAAGTTTTTTTAGTTTTTGTTTTGAAAACAGGTGTTTGTTAAATACAAATTTAAAATCTGGAACGTCATTTTAGGTTGGACAGTAGTAGTAATCCGTGGTTTTTAGTTTTGTGTGTTTGATTTTTGTTGTTTGGTTATTGTATTGTAGTGTTTAGGTAAAGACAATGGTCATATTATTTTATTATGTGTTTAGTCTATGATGAGGAGATTACCTGCCATTGTTTCTTCGTTGGTATACTGCGAATCCTGTCTCATCAATGGTGGTTTGGTCATAAAATTCTTTTGGATATTTTTTGGAGCAGACATTGTCTACCATGCATGGAGAGTCCCTTCTATTTTCGCCACATGGACCATGAACCATAAACTTTGATACCAGATCATATTCTCTTGAGTTTTCATCTTCAGGAATCTCTGCGCTGATTATGCTGTTTATGAAGTATGGATCAGTGTATGAATCTGATTTGACCAACCATACCAAGATGTGAGCATGTGGGAGGCCGCGGTTTTGGAACTCTATGGTGCCAATATCTAAAAAATTTTGGTCAGTATATGTTTTTTTAATATGTATTTTTTTGAAGTGAGGTGGGATTGTATTTTATGAGTGTACCTGCTTGTGTTGGGCCAAAGTGCAGATCTTTTGTTAGTACTCGCATGAGTTGTTTCAGCTTCATGTTGAATACACGTGAAACAATATCTGCACGGTCTTCTGGACGTTGGCCTGGTATTGTTGATAGCATGTCTGCTATTTCCGGCCACTTTGAGTTTGCTGTGAACGTAATGAACAAATCTGGGTTACCAAATTTCCTGCATATTGCCATTGCATCCTGATAATTTTGAAACATGTATCATGGTCCTCCGGTGAATGATGATGGCAATATTGTTCGTTTCCCCACAGATGCCCCTGTTGTGTCCCCTTTGTTGATGGCGTCACACACATTTCGGTAGATTTCAGTGCGAAATATGTTTTGTTTCTTTCGTAAAAATCGAAGTCTTTCCTCCTCTATGGCAGTGTAGGAGTCTACCAAATATTGTTGGAAAAGTCTTCCTCCCTGGAGATGTGTTGTACCTTCAGTGAGTCTTTGTTGAATGCGATAAGCATAGTATTCTCTCATGGTGACGTACGCCCGGGAGACTTGCATACGTGGAGAATCAGTGTATAGGATTTTTTCATNCCCCTTTGTTGATGGCATCACACACATTTCGGTAGATTTCAGTGCGAAATATGTTTTGTTTCTTTCGTAAAAATCGAAGTCTTTCCTCCTCTATGGCAGTGTAGGAGTCTACCAAATATTGTTGGAAAAGTCTTCCTCCCTGGAGATGTGTTGTACCTTCAGTGAGTCTTTGTTGAATGCGATAAGCATAGTATTCTCTCATGGTGACGTACGCCCGGGAGACTTGCATACGTGGAGAATCAGTGTATAGGATTTTTTCATGGTACCCGTCTTCTCCATGTGGGAAAAGTAGGGGATACTGCAATGCCATCAAAGATGGGTGTCTTTCATTAATCTCTTGAAGGCCTTTTGTTTTATGTTCTACAACTATATTTCTTCCATCTGGTGCTTGCACAAAATCCCCTACTATTAGTGCCGCTACTTCTGATGCTGTGGGTGCATTATACTGCCTCTGTTTTGGTGTGCGCTCTGATAAGAGGTGCAGTTGCAACTGTACATCTTCACTTTCTTTCATTCTATCTCGTGCCATTCTGAATGTTTTTGCCAAACAATTCTCCCTGTCAAGCATTGTTATTAGGTCTGAGAGAATGCTCTCATCTAGCTTGGAGTTTGGTTTGTCCTTTGTAAGTGACTTTATCCTTGAACACACTTCCTCTGTTTTGTTATCATACATATATAGTTGGAGGAACTTCCGGGGTTTCCCTGGTTGGGGATTTAGTGAACCAATTTGATGGCAGTTTTGGCCGCTGATTCTAAAGACATATGGTCCTTTGGTTTTATTGATTTCGTAATCGATTTGTGCCCCTATTGATGTGAAGGCAAGAATTGAGTTATATGCCCGTATGTTTTCGCGAAAGGTAGCTGAACGTTTCCCTCCATTGTGGCTTAGAAGGTCTCTTAGATACTGAGGTGCATTTTTCAATGCGGAGAGGGAAACCCGGCCTTCCATGCAACACAAAGAGAAAGTGGGTGGTGAGTTCTTTGCCTTGCTGTTATTGCGTTCATCTGTCCACATTATAGCATGGCAGTATTGGCAGTTTTCATGAGGAAAGCCCAAATAGAGATAGTCCAATTTTTGGCCTGCAATTATTTGGTGCATAAATATAGTGTTAGTATTGGATGGATTAGATAGTGCTCATAATAGAAGAGGTGTATGGTAGGATGGTGTAAAGTATTGTGTACAATGGGTTTTTGCTTGCATAATATTAAGGCGCCATGAGACATGTAGGGAGTAAACTAACACGCTAAGAGTATGTTTGACCATGTAAATTTTATAAGAGAACAAAATGATATGGGTTTCTTTCATTTCGTTTGCCAAAATGGCAGGGATTTGGTCTTATGGTATTTTATTTTGTTTTCTAATTACTTAAAGTAAACATAGATTAAGTAATCTAGGGAAAAAAGAGATAGAGTTTGGGTGCAAAAAGAAAAGGAATTGGGTTTGTTTATTTCCCTCATCAAAATGGGGGGGGATTCAGTTTGATGTTATTTTATTTATTTTTCAAATTCCTTAATGTAAACATAGCGTAAGCGTTCCAGGGAAAAAAGAGATAGAGTGAGAGACAGAATAGATTGAAATAGGGAATCATTAATAAGTGGAAAACTTAACCCTCATTGATGAATTAATTAGAATAGATAACAAATGAATCATTCATCTACATTTTTATGTTCATGTAATTTATAGTATACTCATGTATTAAGAGAACTAAAAGTTCTACATTCAAATAACTTGTTCTAAATTATATCATCAGGGCCTCATTTATTGAAAAGGGACCATAAATTGTGATTAGATGGTTGGAAAACAAACATTTTGATGATGGGTTATTATGAAATACCTATGATATATTTTAGGACCTGCCAAGTCTCGTAGTTCAGCAAGTGATAAACTGATGCATTTTTTTCTGATTTCTAATTAAGCAAGAATGTAAATATTTTAAAAATTGTATTTGTAATGGGTTTGTAGTAATAAACTTACCTGGATTATTTGCATGCAGTGCACACTGTTGTGCTTGGGGCTGATTTCTTCTTGAGGGGGCTATTCAAATAAGAACATTGAAATGTGTTATAGGGATAGAAGAATGTTATAGAAAAGTACAGTGTAGTATCAAATAGTAGTTACACTTTTTGTATATACCTGCCATTCTTTGTGTGGGCAGAGTTGTTTGACCACCTGTGGTCATGTGTCTCTGTTTGCTTCTCTTATTCGAAAGAATCAGTTTCTGCCTTTTTTGTGCTTGTTGGTATATTCTTCTTGAATTTTCTGGTTCATGGCTGTTGATATTCATATTCATATAGTGATTAAGTTTTTGTGTTTGATTATGTAGTAATAATATAGTATTTATAGGAGCATGTTTAGTTCTTGCATTGTGTCCTTTCATATGCTCAGAGGTGGTTTTTTATGCATTTATTGTTTATTTAAGTATCATATTTATTCTGGTAATTATGTGTGTTGCATTAAATTATCATGAATGGAGTTTTTTTGATAGAATGGTTATTTAAATTCCTGTGTGCAGAAATGGATGGTTAGTTATATGGATCGTAATTTATACTAATCACTGGTATTGTTTTTATTTACATGTGTTTTAATTGAAGTGGTAATTGCATGGGTAGTAGGTTTTCTTGATTTTCGGGAGACAATGATTTCTACCCGGAGTAGGAATCGCGGTTATTGGCCTTCCATTTCCCTGGTGTTGTATCCTGGTTCTTGTGGCTGATGTGCTCAGTTGTGGAGATTTTATTGTTTTTTCTTGAAGAATAAGTTTTTTTGTTTTGCGGGCTTGTTCGGAAGATGTTCTCCATTGTTGAATAACTTGATTCATGTCCATGTCCACCATGTAGGGTCATGTGGGTTTTGGTGTAGTATGTAGAAGTTAGGAATGAAGATTTTTTGTGTGGTTATTGGCCTTCCGGTTCCTGGACCTGTACTGCAATGTGCATTTATTATGATTTAAAGCAGAGCAATTAATATGGTTGTCACATAGTAATTTTCTTATTTAATATATTTTATTGCTAACATCATATTTTGTGAACCCTTTTGGTATGGTAACCTGAAATAATTAAATGGAAATTGAAGGCTTGTTTGGCTAATGTAAGTGGCAGGGAGTTTATGGCATTATCCGATTTTCATAGAGTATCCAGTATCCAGGTTTGAAAGACAGAGCTAAAACTTGAAGCAGACAGTGGGAAACTCTTCATAGCCAGTCAGATTGCATGAGGTTTAGAAGTGCATGAATGTGTTGACATAGATTTTAATGAATAAGTAAAGCAAAAAGTTTGTTGTTAAGATTACTTATATGAAAGGAGTTGTCTTCCATATAAAGATGACGTTTTGGAGATGGTCATTAACTTACCATACAAAGTTATAGTATGTAAATGAAAGTAAAGTTTTAGCACCAAAGTTAACACAGTTATATCTAGCAAACAGGAGAAATGGCAAAATGATATACCTAGCACATCCCTGGAGTACGATATAAGAGTTGTAAACGATGACAGAAGGTTTTAAAAATTAACAACTAATATATTGGGAGGGGTGTAGAAAAGCAGATAGGGAATAGTGTATTCACATGCACTGTCTAAACGATGAACAAAGGGACATGGTAAACAGTTTAATTTTCAGTCATTAGATATTACCAGGCAATAAACAATAAGATATAAGGTGGAGAGTTTTCCTTCGTTTTGGTTGCAAAGTTAAGGGGGTACTGATAATTGTCGTTTTAGTGAAGTTAGATAAGATATAATTGTGAATGGAAAACCTTTGAAATATCCAGATTTCATAAATAGAAAATACTTGGTAATTGGTATGACTAAGTTGTAAGCAATGATAATCTTCTCAGATATGTGCAAAAAGGATCATTTATTTCCTCTCTTAGAGAAGCATAACCAATCTTTAGTATGCATATGTATGAAGGTTAATGTTTATATATTAATTCAATAATGATCAAAACATATACCACACAACATGCTAAACACATGGTGTGTTAGATACGCAAATACCTGAGAAGGAGTTCGTTCCAATGGGAGTTCTAAGAGAAGAGACTTGGATTTTGTAAGAAGGACAAGACTCTCAGCTATGTGTAATATATGCCTTCTGCTCGGGTACTGAACGACCGGATATTCCAATGACTACCTGCTTAGAGGACAAAGATGCCAATGGTAAATAATAGACCCTATTAGGGGAAAAAACACCGATGAGCAATGACAGTAAACTATATTTTATTGAAAATAAACCATGCAGCTGTTATAGAATAATAAAGACATATTTGTGACAATCTGACATCATCCACCGTTATCATCACTACTACTTCTATTACTACTGCTTTCAGATTTTTCTTGTTTTCTGTGTAAAAAAATCTTTCATTTCCTTTGAGATTTATGCAAAAGAGATAAATTTTGTGAAATATTTAATGTTTTCTAAAAATGAATGACCCCACGATTAGCGCATTCTGTTGGAGCTTCTCTTTCTCCAGCAGTCTAAGGACAGCAATAGCGCCAGCTGGGCACACGGGATTCCCACCAAAGGTATTGAAATAACACCGGTTTGTCAAGGCATTTGCAATGTCTGGTGTGGTGACAACAGCTCCAAGTGGAATGTCATTCCCAATTTCGTAATGAGAACCCCAAAAAAACAAAAGTCCATATGTGTTGTGGGTTTTTGGGATGCGAAGCAAAAACTTTACCTTTGCCATGGGGTCGATATCGGGCACAACTCCATGGGCCTCAAACCCCCAAAAATGGCTCCATGTCCTACCAAAGCCTGACTCGACCTCATTGGCTATACATAGACCTCCAGCATTTCAAATAGTACTATACCCAGCTGGGAAGTAGGCTGGACCAGTTCCATGATTCTCCAAACACCCTGTCAAGAACATGCTTTAACCATTAGTAGAGCTCCTAGGTCATATGATATGTTGGGATATAAACCTACTCCCATACCGGATGGGGAAAAAAAGTTCAAATCCCATAGTATTATTCTTTAGGAAGCTGGCTAAAAATAAATCCGTGAAGGTTTGGCCTAAACTGTGTAAAACATCATACTAATCTGAAGTCAGAGGAAACGGCACATCATTCAGCTAAGCAATAAAAGCAGCAGTGATACCTGCATGGTTTCAGCAATAAAACCAGCAACACGGCTGGTTGTCCCATAGGTGAGAACATCATCAAAGTCCCTAACATATTTTTTCCCATCAGAGTCAAACACGCCCCTATACTGATCAGTATTGAATGTATGGTGCACTGCTGTCTGTCGAATCCAGTAAAGAGAACACAGAATCACCAGTCAAGTGAAAGAAGTTCAGATTGCAAAGAAACTAACTTGTAAGTGATTTGTTCTTTTTCTGCCACTATATGAAAATATTAGTAACATCCATATGCACCTGCACTATATTCAATTTGTAGGTAGAGTGTGCAGTAGAAGCCATCGTAGCAGATGCATTGCCGTGGTAACCATTGCTTATCGAGACAATGTCATGAGTTTGGGTATACAGCCTCGCCATTAGGAAGGCCAGCTCATTGGCCTTTGTCCCTGAATTGGTAAAGAAAACAACCTTTAAAACAACAAAATGTTAGAGAAGCTGGAAATATACAAAGAAAGTTCAATGTTGAGATATGATATCCCACTTTAAAATTATTGGTCTTGTGTGAAATTGGCTTAATTGGGTATCAGAATGTTATAAAGAAGTGAGAATAAAGATTGAACCTTCAAATCTCTGGGCAACTTGGAAGCAAGTGCCTCTGCAAAGTCGGTGATAGTGTGATTGAAGTCTAATTTAAGCCCAAAGGTCCAATTTAAGGCCAGAATTGGACTCAAGTCTGGAATTCTAGTTATATCTTCAGGTCAATGATATGTCTTGGGGTGGAAATATATGTAGACAGTGGCTTCAGCTCGGCCTCAGTTTGTCCTCACAGAAAGGAAGCAAAAGTAGAGGATGTATGAATCTGCAAGAAAGAATAAGAATCCAACCAGCCTACCAACCTCATCATAGAAACATCTTAAGTGCAGCGTATCAAAGAAGCCTAAAAACTCTTAGCAATACTGCAAGGGAGAAACACAAACCAGGGGACAGGGGGTACCATAGTTAAAGCATAATGTGAATCCATCCTCTACAACCATGAAACTCAGGTATAAAAGAAAAACAATGAGTACTATCACTATTGTATTCAGACATTCAGTGTATGAGAGTAAAAAATGATCTCTAACCTAACAAAAACCCACCAAAAGGTAAACCAAGATGAAGAAACAAAAAAGAACATCAAAATCTCATAATAATAAATATTCTTAAAAGAGAATATTTTATTAAACAACATATAAATATACTGTACTTATCATCACCGGGGATGGAAACGCTTAAAAACGTTGTGAACCAAGTCTTGGCAGGAAGTGATATACTGGTAGTCTTCAATAGGCTACATCTTGACCTAGTGTATCAAGTATTTTTAAAATGACAGAGAACTTCTTAGAGCAGGGCAGCCAGGCACAGGGACTGCAGGCTAAAAACATACTTAAGTAAAAAATGTTGGCATTGAATGAAGGATGAATTTCTTAATTTTTTTATTAATGATTGTATTTAATTTCACCTTTTTCCCATTTCATCCATAAACATCACAACCTGTGGTTGGTTGAAAACCTGTTTCAGGCTATGATTTAAATTGAATAGGTGGGGGTTCATGATGTAGACAAAGCATATTCTCTGCTTGAAAGAAGAAGGTACTTAGAACAATCTTTTAAGTTATTTTTAATGTGAGATAGATATGTTGTTACCTTGGGTTCTGATGTATTTCATTTGTCAAGTGTTTTTCATCACTGGGGATGTTTTAAATACTTGGAAGCATATAATTGTGTGTGTTTTCATTATTTCTTAAAGATAACTGCAAGTTTGTGTTTTGTCACCATGAATGCACTTATGAAGGCAAAGAATAGAACTTTTATAAAACTGGTGTTAGTAGATTTTGCAATTCCCTTGCATGAAGCATTAATGACCTGTTTCATGTGGATTTAAATTTGTGCTTAAAGTTACTGTGTGTCATGCTTGCCTTTACTGTATGTGCTTTGTATTCTGCAGAAATATGCACCGTACATGCTTTGTATTATATGTTTTCAGGTCATGGTACATTGAGTATGGCTTGATTATGTGTCTATTATTACTATAGTGTCAGTATGGATTGCTTATTGGAAACAGTGTTAAAATGCCGAGGCATATAGTTTGAAAGTAAACTCTGACTTTTATTAAATAATGAAGAGAGAACATAAGTTTCCAATGTAGTCTCAGGAAAATGTAAAAAACAACATGAGGCAAAACACAGTAACGTATACTATAGGAGATTCACTTCTTTGTGGGAAACTACTCCTTTATTTGCAGTAATATAAATATGAAGACCAAAAGCAGCAGTGGAAGTTGTGCCATATTTAGCTTCTCATTCTTGTTGTGCTTTCCCCTCACGTTGAGTAAAATCCTCACTGTAAAAGCCAAATGAATAATTCATTTTCTATACGGGAGGCATTGCTCAATCTGGTAATAAATGAAATAACAAATTCCAGACCTTAAGGGTTTAAAGATGATTGAATGTATAAAGTCATTGGTTTGTAGTGATCAAACCTTGAACGTCTTCTTTTACTTGGTCCATCATCACAGAGCGCCAGCTGCACCGTTGGTGAATTCAGCTGTGTTTTTAAAACATTGATTGACAGTGAATAAGAATATCAAAAAAAACAATGGAAAAACGTATTGTATAAACTGATTATAATAAAAACCTCTTCATTCCTTGGTGGTTCCAAAATTGATTCCTCGAAAACCTTATTTTCCGTGAAACTCTGTCTATATGCAGTCTTGTTGTATTCGGTTAGCTTGACACGGAAAAACAATCGTTGCCCAATAAGGTTTGCAATAATAGCAGGTACTTCGCCCACCGAATCTTCATTCTGCAATAGTTGTTGTGTACATTTTTAAAATGTTTTGCATATGGCGTATGAAGTATAACACTTAAGTAGTATTTCCAAATCTTAATACCTCCTCCAGTTTCTCTTGCATATCATATATGCTAGGGGCAGATTGTCCTATCATCTTCTCAGCAACATCATCAAACACAATGAACTTCGTACAATCTGTGGCATCCTTGACTCCTAATTCAATTCGAAATCTGCGAATACACACAATTTTTTTGGTTTATTTGTAAACAAATTGCTTTCATTACTACGCCATATGCATTATTGTGTTTTGAATTTGAAGTGAGACTGTGTGTATTACCTGATTGACAGTGTTAACATGTGCTAATTCTATCATGACATGCGCATAAAATTTACCTTGGAATGGCATCATTCACTGTCTTATTGCACTTGTTGCACCAAAAATTTTGTCCATACGCCTTAATTATTCCCTTGCAGCCACATGAGTTGTAGTACCATCCATTGTTGTTGTGGATGTCATATATTGTAGCAACACAAAATAGTAGAGTGCCCTGTACATGTGTAAGATTAATATTTTTAAAGTCGGAAACAAAATTAGTGGTTCATGAATGAAAAGAAATGAGACAGATTTAATATCATCTTATTACATCTTTAAAATCTGTCTTTGTAATTGCTAAAACCTCGCCAATGGTTTTCAATTTGCTTAAAACAGCATTTCAATCCAGTTCTTCTTGTTGCTCGATGATAAGCGGTTGGATTATATGTTCCCTTGCCGAAGAACTGCAATGATTATTCACACTTGGAAAGGTTATGGGATATCATTTCTAATATTTGATGGTTGGAAAATATAAACCCTAAATACCTGCTTTTCTTTTTTAAGGCAATAACCTCATCAATGTCAAGGTCTAAATAAATCTTTGTAGCTGAAGTTGATGACAAAACAGCATTGTCTACAATGAAGAAAATCAAATCAACTAAACGAACCATGTGCATAGCCATCATATCTTTTTAGTAAAAAACAAAAAACTCATACTCATGTATCGCTTGACCAAGGTTGACGTGAAAACTCCAACAATGATTCCATTTTCAAGCATTGATTTTTGTCTCATGTAGTTATCAACACTCTCACCCCATAGTGTAACCCGCACTTTTTCAGCTCTGAAATTCAAAATCCAATTTAATAGCTAACCGTTGCAGATTTTTAATTCGGTAAATACATCAATTATTAGCTTTAAAATCACATATTCTTATAATATGAAAACTATTAACCTTAGATCATGTAATTCAAGCATCAAGGAAGGAACGCTGTTTCCACGGCAATTCTTATTTATAACCTCTCCCTCGCAACATACTTGGCCCACCACATCTGTAATATATACCACACATTAGAAGTGTAATCCAGTGGTAAAATCACAATTCATAGAAGATGTAAAAGACCTGATCTCACCAGTTAAAATGTATGTTTCTCCCATTCTAGACTCCACCTTATCAAAATCAAGTAAATAAAACCGATGATTTGGTATTGCAAATGTTGGTATTCCCAGGGAGTCCTCTGAAAGAGATCTAACGACTGTAGTTGGATAAAGTTGAATCATGAGCTTGTTGTCTCCAACAACACGATACTGGGCCTTATTGGGAACAACATTGAAATTCTTAATATAGTAAACACTTCCTTCAGCAATACGTTTTTTGAACAAATGCGAAATACTCCCCTTGATGGAGGCATGGATATATGAGCCCTAAAACATAAAAGATGTGATTTAATACACACAACAAGTAATAAGAAATTAAATTAACAAAACGCAAACACATTAACAGTTAACATTGTGAATACAGGAAAAAGAAATTAAATTAGCGAAACACACACACTGACATTTAAAATTGTGAATAACCTGTTTATCAATGAGCACCATATCTGTACTTAGTAGGTCTTTTTCATCGTGAAATCTGTAAGAATCCCACAGGCGCGACACCCGTGCTGTAATCGCACTGTTCTTGGATTCCAGCGTCAATTTCTCAATAGGGATGCATTCTTCTACCATCTTTAGCAGTGAAGATACCATGGCTCCAAAAATTATAAAAAAGAACACAACTAACACCCGGTACGTCGATTTCAATTATTCAATAAGACGTATATATATACACAAAGATCCAAACACAGAGAAGCTGAATCATTTGGAATAAAGTAGAGGTAATAAACGCACCTAGGGTTACATAGAAACAACATTAACTCCCGATACCACGCTGCCTCCGACGTCTCGCCTGCAAAAACGGATGGAATTGAAGTGAAATTGAGGAGTTCTGGAAGAAGAAACATGTCGATAAGTCGCGAGAAGCCTGGGCCGAGGAAGAGTGTCGATAAGTCGCGAGAAGCCTGGGCCGATGAAGAGAAGTTACAGATCTATTAGCCTTCCGGTTACGTGGCAGCTGAGTGAGCAAAATTTAATCCATCTCAGCATCCTAGTCAGTGTACACGTGTCAGTTCCACAACTAATAAACCCTACTTTATATATATATAGTGTCAGTTCCACAACTAATAAACCCTACTTTATATATATATATATATATATATATATATATATATATATATATGATTGAACCATCAAATATACGAATGAATCTAAGCCATCGGATGCATCTAATCTAATGGATGAATACTATTCTTATTTCTTTCACCAAGGACCATTCTCACAGGAACCGGCCCATATATATATATATATATATATATATATATATATATATATATACATATATATATATATATATTAACCTGAAAAACTTCACCACTAAGGGTGTGATAGAGCCAGGGACGCTCTATCTTATTAAATTAAAGAAGAAATTAGAAGTACAAACGGAGAGGGTGGGCTAAACCCAAACAAGGCCCAACAAAGCTAAAAAAATAAGATAAGGAAAAGCATGAAAACCTGCACCTAATGTGCCCGGCAAACATGAAAAGAAAAGAGTTACAAGAAATTCAAGTTATCCAAATCATCCTCAAACTCCTCAAAATACTCGGGATCTACTAAATTCTTCGCTTTGACCGCTAAGTGTGCTATTTGAGTTTCATCTTTGCCTTCTTTTTCTGTTTTTTACTAAGCTTCACTTGGGATTCCGAGGTTGGAGTAAAGGTTTGGATATTCTTCGTTTTGATTGACGGACAACTCCTCTTGAAAGCGGAGCGGATGCCTTCTACAAAAGATTCGCTCTCCTCATCAGATGTGTCAACTCCCTTAATGGGGTGTTCTTTCCTTCCCGCTGCTATAATCTTAGCTCTACTTCTAGTAACCATATGAGAAGGTGAGTAGGTTGCCTTACCCTTAGCTAATTTCGGAAGCTGCAATGACATATTAGAGGAACTAGGAGTTATGATTCTAAAAGGTTCAAGCTTAGAGTCAATAAAAACAGTTTTCTCTCCTTCAGAGTGAGTGTAGAGGGCAGGTTCTTCAAATCCCGGGCTTGCATCCTCAAGGGCATTTAGTTTCATCATCCTTGCAGTAGAAGAGCAATTAAATAAATCTATCATGTC